AAAGGAGTGTGACCTTAAAGCTAACTAGTGATCGTCCTCTTGCTTTGTGTATAAGGTGGATGGTATGGATGCACTAGCTGTGAAACAGGCATGCAAGTTTGCCAAGGAGCATGCGCTCAAGAATGGACCTATTGTAAGTTTGCACAATGCATATCAGTACACGCGTATCACAGTTTCTTTGAATTTAACCACACAATGTAGTGTTAGCATATATTGGATTCTTATACACAGGCCACTCTCTCTAACTGGGAATATGACGAACATACTATTCTCATTGTCTCTGCAGATCCTTGAGATGGACACCTACAGATACCATGGTCACTCTATGTCTGACCCAGGAAGCACCTACCGTACACGTGACGAAATCTCAGGCATCAGACAGGTTAGTTCTGTGTTTAATTGTAAATATTACTGTTCCAAACATTTGAAATTTGAAACTTATTAGTATTATACACGCTTAGGTGCGAGATCCGATTGAAAGGGTGCGGAAGTTACTCATGACTCATGACATAGCTACAGAAAAAGAGCTTAAGGTACTTTGTTATCTACCTTTTTTCTATGGTCTTCCAAACAGAAAGCTTGAAAAACTGATACTATTATCATATACCAAAAAATATGATACAATCATCATTTGAAAAAATGATACAAATAACAATTTGCTCTTGGTTTAAAGGACATGGAGAAAGAAATAAGGAAAGAAGTAGATGACGCAGTAGCTAAGGCCAAGGTAATATAATCTCATCTCTTTCTAGCGTTTTCTTTGTTATTTATATCAAAGCATTTACTAATTCTTTACCGCTTAACGCGTTTCAGGAGAGCCCGGTACCAGATTCATCTGAGTTATTCACAAACATATACGTGAAAGACTGCGGACTTGTGGTACTATTCTGTAACCTTGTGTGGCATTATAGTTCTTTGCATACTTGATAATACGATGAACTTACGCATGTTTCTTTCTCCATTGCAATTCGCAGTCATATGGAGCAGACAGAAAAGAAGTTAAAGTAACACTTCCATAAATGTTGCCCTGCAGTAGCTGACGTTTCAATAAATTTCAAAGGCAAGGCTACACAAATTCTTGATCTTGCTACCAAAATATTTCTGGTTTTTACTTTCATTTCGAATGTAAAGCCATTGCCTCAGTTTTCCAACTTTTGTTTACCTTTCTATACACTTTCGAGTTTCGACAAAGTTATTGACACCAAGCAAGAAGCTTTGGACATCAAATCTTTCTATGTGTGTGAGAAAGACAGAGAATCAATAACAAAAAATAACCTTCGATGTCAGAAGCAATAAGAGAGAGCAGTTAAGAGAATAACATCAGCTTCTTTGTCTCTGTGAATAAAATGTCGACATGTGATTACAAAATCAGCAAGAACCCGTGTTTAATTCGTATAATCTACAAATGACACATTTAAAAAGAAAAAGCAAAACCAACTATCTTCGTCGGTAGCAATAAAAACCACATGAAATTGCATGACCCACCACCTAACTTTCAATTTATGTACAATCTTTGCTTCTACTACAAGTCCCTTTCTCACTTCCCCACACAAACACACCAAATCTTATTGAACAGGTAAACTCTATGACGTTTTGATTCATTTTCTTATTATATAGTTTAGACTTTATGTGTAACTAACTAATCAGAACTCACTAGTAATAATGAACTTTTGATTCATTCTTCTTAGCCAAACATTTGGTTCTCCCTAAGCCAATAGAAAACTTGAAATCTCCATTCGTTTGACAAGGTTATAGAGTGTTTAACTGTCTTTAACTATTCAAGAACATTCTCTACAGTGAATAAAAAAAGATATCAAATGTTCAACGAAAATCTTTATCGTGTTCTCTTCTCAGTTCTAATCCACGAGAAATAGTCCGTAATACATTATACACATCAATCGCATCACAGAGAAAATCAAAATACATAAACTTGGGTATTATATGAAATATAAAATTATATTATTATACTAGGTGATTCTCACGCGTATACGCGGATAAA